CGGGTGCAAAGGAGAGCAGCACGTGGCTCATTTCATCCTCTCCTCATGCTCTCTCTGAAGGAGATGTCTTGATGGGAGATGCTTTCTGACAGCAGCGGGCTGTGAATTGAGCTGAAGGACCGACACCCCTCAAACGAGAGGTCCCACCTGGGGTTGCTTCCAGGAGGGAGTCAGGGGCAAGGCTCTGCAGAGCATATAAAATATATGTCCGTAACTCCATGCAAAAAACAAGGCTGTGTTCCTTAGAGCAGACTGGCTTCCTACGGCGCTGATCTTTCAGCAACGGTCTGGGTGTCTGAAGAGGCTGGTATGCAGACCGCTGAAAGGGGCCACTCAGGATAATGCTGTCAGCCAAATATGCAGTGGCATTCAGGCAGTGCAGGACTATTTGAAGCCAATGGCCCAGCCTGGGCCGCACTTTCTATTTGTTTTTACATGTTGTGAGCTAAGTTTGGGTATGGTATGCTCAAACACACAAGCAAGCCTCTGTCTGCCTCTAAAAGCACAGGGGGGGATTGCAAAGGGAAAGTACACTTTTCAAGCAAAGTCAGTTTCAGATTATGAACCAGCTTTTCATATTAGCAGGAAATACTTGATCCTCCTGCACCTTCGTTCGGCTGGGCCCACAACATGGCTTTGACGGGAGGCAACCCCAAAAGAAAATATATTTCATGTGGAGAAGGTAATGCAAAGCCTGTATTTGCAACTGATTTGAAAAGACGCTTAAACAGATCAATTTTTAAAACCAAATATTATTTTTAACCCTATTTCCCCAAAGATGGTCCAGACATTATTGTGGTTTGATGTAGCTCTAGCTGCCCCAGGGGTGCTGATAGATGGAGGGCTTGATGCGTGTGCTGCCTTCAGTCCTCGTCTATGGCTTTGTGCTTTCCCTGCTTGCGAAGAGATTTCAATTTCATGTTGTTCTATGGATCTACCAGTGAATCATCTCTGCAGCTGGATTATGTTTTTTAGTAGTAGTTAGAGGCTATGCTGAAAAATGTGCTAAAACAACCTCATTTTTAGCCTGAAAAACACACGCCATAATGGTGACAACCAACAGTGATGTCAGAATTTTACCAGTTATTAGTCACAAATGATTTGGTTCAAAAGTGACTTGATTCGGTTCAAAAGTGACCCCAAAGTGGTAGGATTTAGTCTAAACCTAGTCTGAGGTCCATTAAAACTTATAGCAACTGTCATTTATCTCCTATTCCTTTTCTCTCCACCTGATGGTTTCATGGAGGCTAGGGAACAGGAGCTCTGAAACACTGGAGTAAAGTCTATATTCATAATACTGCTTGGAATAAAAAAAAAAACAACCCTGCCTGTAAGTGTGTATTTCTAACATTACTCCACTGTGTCTGGAGGGGAAAAAAAAAATAAGCACTCCTGTCAGAGATAATATTCAAGCAAACCTGCCTCTCCCCATCTCCAGACCTGCAGTTTCTGCCCCACAAGAGTTGCTTTGCTCTTCCAGGTGATGCTGATTAGGGAGGCAGAAGGTGTGCTGCCTACAGAGCTCATTTTGCCAGTATAAACTGTATCTCTAGTAGGGGGGCTTTCTTGCTGTAACCTTATGGACGAAACTTAAATGGTACTGTAGGTGTCTACTGCCTCCACATTGAACGTCTCTGGAGCCCTGGAGGGACGGTGGCCGTCTGGTGCTGTGCTCTGTGCAGGCTGTCACTCTGGAGCCACATATGGGACAGAGCTGTCTTTCTTGGGGAAAGACCATTTTTAGGCTTGGGGACTAATATTAGGCATTTGCACTCATTCAACTGGAGTTGTGACCACAGGAAGGCAAAGTGTTCACAGAGCTATGAATATCGCCTGGGCTGTGGTCAGGGTGAGGGCTCCAAGGCAGAGGCAGATGGCAGGGCACCGTCCTGCTCTGCTCTGCTCATAACCCAGGACGGGTAAGGGGGAAGTGGCAGAAATGTCTCCTGTCCTACGTAAAGGGGAGGTCAGTGCACAGTTCAGACTAGACAGCAAGGTCCTGACCCCTGGACAAGCCCTAATCTCATCTGAAATCGGGGAAATTAAAACAACAGGCAAGACCGACAGTGCACTGAGTTTCCTAAAGTTAATAAACACCCAACAACAGTGCTGGGATTACAAAGTGTTTCCAGGAGATGTGGCTATTCTTCTGTTTTGTTTAAAAAAACACATAACCCCAAACCCAAAAACACAACCCTACAGCAATGACACTTGAAGCAAAGGAAGACAACCCCCTCAGTGGTTAAAGAGCTTTGAAAATATTTCCCATCATACTTAAAGAAAGATGTGGCTTTAAAACAAATAGGAGATCATGTTTTGGGGGCTTCAGGCCAAACCCTTCAGCACTGTGATAATGCATGACAAAATCTTTACCTCTGTAAATAAAGAAAAACTATCTGGAAGGAGCATTTCCCAGCTGCTGTCATGGATTTGCCGTTGCATGTGAAGGCAGGAAGCTGCAGGAGGTCCCTTGTAACAGGAGACTCATAACTATACTCTGTAGAAGTTACTTTATTTCCCATCCTAAAAAGCGCCGGAATCTGTAAAAACTCATACTGGGGAGGAGTGAGACCAAGCCTGCTTCAAATTTACTCCACATAAAAAATGTATCCCTGAAATCTGGAGCCATTCAAAAGCCAGGCAGGTTTTAAGTGGATTGCAGAAATATAACTTACAGTGATGCCATCTTTTGCCAATGCTATAATTTCAGTGTCTATAAATTTCATGTTTTCCCTGCAGTGAAGTCTCTCCTCATAAACTGAGCAGCCTGTGAATTCACAGGCATCGGTTACCTCCCCAACTCTCTTCTGGCCAGCAGCGTGGCCATGAACCGGAGCGTTTCTGCACACATTTCTCAGTTTCCCATCGGTAGAAAAGGGATAATGGTGCCTGCCCACCTCTGCGGAGCCCACCGAGGCCCCTGGATGAAAAACTGTGTAGAAGGAAAGTAGATCTCTTGGTGAGCATTAATTACTATAGGCTCAGCAGTGTGGGCTCAGCTGGGTTTGCAAGGAAATTTTCAACTGAGTTGAAGCCATGGACTTGGATTAAAATAAAACACACCAAACTGACCATACAGCTCTGGGCGGGAGTAACCCAGAGTTAAATTAAAACCGACTCAACTTCCACTCTCTCCCAGGATGCTCAGCCTTCTAGTGTTCTTCTTCTGCATTTGAGCATTTCTCTCGAACCGAGGGGTGGTGGAGAGCACAAGTTATCCACCACTGCGTGAGCTCTGGCTCCGAGCTGGTCCCCAGGGGTACCCCAAAGCTGCTTTCAGCCTCCTGCCAACCACAGGGCAGGAGTTGTACTGCTGTCATCAGGTTTTTGAGGAAAATGAGTCCATCTTCTTCCCCAGCTTGTTATGAGATTGGCTAAAATGCAGTTTAATCACCAAACAGTGCAAAAAAAAAGAGACTCCTTTCCCTTTTCTAAGCTGCACTTAGCTCTTATTTGCAGTTTCCCACAAATGCAAGACTGAAGAAGACAGAGGCATCCTTAAAGGGAAAAAAAAAGAAAGAGAGAACCATGTGACTTCAAAAACCTGGGACTTAAGTAATAAACTGCCAGATTTGGTGAGATTCCAAAGAAAACCATGGGAATATGCAACGGGACCCATCTGTACTGACCCTGCCCTGCCCTGAAACGTCTTTGTGCTGTAGAGATCCCTGGCTCTGGAGGGGGACGCTGGACATAAAGGCACGGCCAATCTTTTATGGACCATCTGATTTAACTTATAAGTTGACCCTGTCTCAGATGCAGTGTCTCCAGGGGCATTCAGCTACTTATATTTCATACCATGGCTGCCCAAAACTCCTGACTTTCTCTAAAAACACATCACTGTGGAACTTCAATGGCATTTGGGAACATCCACTCAGCCAGACAGAAGCTTTCCAGCACACCTCCCGTAACATAGCTGGACGTGTAGTACTCAGTACAGATTTGGAGGGCTACAGAACAGCTATTTCCTGGCATTGAGGTGGAATTTGTGCATTTATTTTTATAAGAACAATCAAGAAAACCCTCTGCCTAAGCATTGTAGGGCCCTGATGCTCTGCTGGCTAGGAATGCTCCTGGAAGCACGAAACAATAACCTCAGTGAGTACATTTGGGATGCTGAAACCAGGCATGCTGGCACACAAGTCCCCTGAGAGCTTGTTTGAGTGTGCCCAACTTTCTCATTACATTTACCTGCATTTACCTACTGGAGAGCTACCACCCCGCTGTGGCATACCAGAACTGTCCTGGGAAGCCAGAAACTCAGGTCAGTCTGCTCCACAGAAGGTCTAAAGGATGACTTTTCAGTCCCATAGAGTGGGGAAAGGGGAAAAGAGAAGGAAAAAAATGGTTTTGATGAGAATGGTAATAAATATATAGCAAAGAGCACATTTTAGTAAGTTCAAGCAGGAGTAGACAGTCTGACATCCTGCACAGTGGCCAAGTCACTGGGCTCAGGTCTCTTTGTTGCTTTTCTTTTCCAGGAGCTAACACGAATCACATCAGTTCTGCCAGGAACTGGGAGCAAATCTGCAGATCTCTCAGCCAACAACCCTTACCCTTGGAGTCCCACCACCCTTCTGGTCCCAGAGGCCAGGGCTGCTCAAGCATCGGCTCCCAGGAGCACTTCCAAGGAATGGTGACATTGCTGGCAAGGAACAAGCCGCTTCAAACGAAGGAATTTGGATGCCTCACTGCAAAAACAGCGGGTCAAGTTTAAGGTGAAATTCTTGGCTCCCTGCTTTTGTTTCTGATGACTTTTATAGGACAAAGCTGCACCCTGCTTCAGAGCCCTCCTCTCCCCGTACACCTCACCCACTGGACACCACCTGCCCGAAGCAGCATTTGTGCTTACATTTGCCATCTGGGATGTGCAAGCAGTTAAAGATCTGTTAGAAAAGCAACACAATTTTGCTTTCTTTATTATTGAGAAATCAAAGACCTCATGTGACTTTGTAGATGACTTAACACATTTATAGACCAGGAAGGAAGTTGAGCTGCACTGCTCGCTTCGCTTTTCAGTGGGGCGGTTGCTGCAAATTCAACCTCATTAACTCACAGCTGTGCAGAGGGATCTGAAAATGACTGCCCAAACGACGACTGAGCCCCCCAAATGTTGCTTCTTCAACATCAAGACAGCAACAGTCGCTCTAGGGATCTTCCACATGGTAAGTTACAGGACTGAAAGGGGGGACAGGGAGAGGGAGACAAGAAAAGCGAGGCGGAGGTGTAATCTTTGCAGAAGGTGTAATCTTTGCAGCTCACAAGGTTTCCTGACCGTTGACTTTTCTGTGTTCCCAAAAGAGAAAACCCAATTATTTAAGAGGGATGGACAAAAGAGGAGAAGGTGGCAGGGGGAGGGGGGGGGACAGGAAGAGACTTATTGTACTGGAAGGTTTTTTTAACTATTTTTTCCCTGGCTTTACCAATTGGAGCTCATAGAAATTCACTTTGCTTCCTGTTTTTCCCTTGCAGCTTAATGCAGGAGCTCTTACCCCTGCAGGGGTGTGTAGCTTGGCCAGGGCTCAGCATGGCTACTTGGACCTGTTGGTTAGAAACTGGTCAGCACGGTGGCAATGGAAACTGTGGGAGTGCTGAAATTATGGGTCACTGGAGGGAGGAGGGATTTAGGTCCCAGGCAAGCAAAGGGCGGGTGGGCAAAGCTGCCTCATTGCTCTCTCCACAGCCAGTTGGACATTATACGCAACGTTTTGGTTTCCATTTTGATCCGTGGCTGTGTTCAGCTGCCAGGCAGCTGGCATAACTTCCCCGGGGGTGGTCACAGATGGCAGCGAGCAGCGGCAGCAGAGCCTGGGGGGACATTTCTTCCCCACTGCCTGGTTGCACAGAGGTGCTTTCAGGTGGCTTTAAGTCATACCGAGGATGTGGTTTCTCGCACTGTGGAGGCAGTTAAAATAATCCCATCTGTTGCACTCGGTGTGCACAGTCACGGGTTGGGAGCCTGCAGAGTGATAACGGTTAACGGGGGGTCTTAACCCCCTCCTTGCACAGGAGAAGTGGAGTGAGGGGAGCTGTAGCCTGCTGGGCATGGCAGCTGAGGCAGCCGTGCCACACGTGGGAGGGACATGTCATGGTCCCCCTGTGGCACCAGTCTGCTTTCCTGGGGCAGCAGGAGCAGTCCAAGCTGCCTGAGCAAATCCTCACTGCACCATAGCCCCCTCCTCACTCACACAAAGCCAAGACAGTGGTCTGACATGTTGGTTTAATGGTTTTGACTTCCACGATGCCATTCCTGCATACATTGGTGGAGGATTCAACTCATGAAATGAAAGGCAAAAAAATCTGGAGATCAGTTTAGTTGCATTTTTGGATAGTAAGATTTTTTTTTGCGTTTTTGAAAGCATTAAGAGAATGATAGGATTTTAAAAACGCGCCAAGAGCAGCAGCACTATGGGCTGCTGGAGGCAGCGAGTGAGGGGGGTGGCTGTGCTTGGGCGCAGCGCAGCACCTCTGCACCTCCCTGCTTTGGGGCAGGAGATGGTCCCGTGCCAGCTCACAGCAGGAGAGCAGAGAAACTCGGGTCTACACCACATCTTCATGCACTGTAACTGCCAACATCTTTCCCCTGGCATTACTTGAAAGCCAGGTGCTGTAGTAGCATTTCCATGCCATATTTTAATCATTTGGGGACCTCAAAAACATTATGAGATTGGTTAAAAGAATCATGCAATTTTATAACCTCTTTTGCCTTCTGCTTTTTGAGTATCTACATTACACCCTGGGCAGGTTACTTGTCTTTTTGCCACAAGCTCAAAGCTTATAATCTCACTGCTTTAATGAAAAAGAAATTGCTGCATTTCTTGTGCATTCTCATGACCCCAAGACACAAAAATTGAAACATATGAAAGCTGAGAGTTTGCAGCAGAGCACAAGCAATTTCTGACAACCAATTAAACATATAGCCATCACAGAGGGATGGTCATGAACTGTTTAGAAATGGGACCCTTGGAGGAAGTATAGCCAAGATCTGAAGAGGAGCTGGCAAAATTAAAGGTCTGTGCAAAGGTGGGAAACACAAGACAGGGAACTACAGCACATTTTCCTCAGAGGGCTCCAAGCACGCCGTACGACGTGAGCTATCTGTTATCAGTGGTGAAACAGAGGTACAGAAAATGAATTTTTTTTCCTAGCTGGGATGGTGAATCATAAAAAAGCCTCCTTTGTCTTTCTCAGAAGTCAACAAGTGCTTTGAACTGAGGCACATTTTTCTCCTAAGTGTTTCACCGTGATGCCACTAATAACAACAGAGATTCCTGATTTGCACCAGTGCGTGATGGAAGAGAACGAGACACCACCTCTCGGTGCTGGTGACTAACAGGGAAAACATAATTTCCAGTGACATCACATGAAAAATGCGTTATTTCAAAAACATTTCATGGGTCTCGTAGACACCAGGTGAGTTTTGAATAGCAGAAGGCAGAGAGCCTTGGAGTGAGCCTTCACAGTGCTCAGAGGAAAGAGTTTGCAGAAGAGGTTCAGAGGTCCACTGAGGGCGGGCAAGAGAAGTTGCATTTCTTTGCAAAATGGCGAAGGCAGAAGTCATAAGACAGATGTCCAGAGTCGGCCCCAAAGTCTGGCAGCCTCCCAGACTGTCTCCAACAGCAGCCAGCGGCTTAGAGAAGAAGGTATTGGAAGCAGGACAGGTACCAAGCGATCCCTGCCCTGTGCATCCTCTGCAGTCAGTACGTCAGAGACTTCTTGAGCTTGAGGTTACATGAAAACTATCATGTTTACTAGCTGTTGTGTTAAATAATCTCCAGCTCTGTTCCGCTCACACTTCCTTTTCAATCATTTCTTTTCCGTGTTTGACAAATTCTAGTGTAACAGGGCTCTCTATGAGCGGAGGCTGTTTCATACACAGTCTTTTTTATTGCTGTGAATGTTCTCTCTCTCCTGACTGTTAGCAGTGGAGACATGGTTCAAAACAGAAATTATGTTAGTATACTTAGTTGTAGTTTATACCTTATCCTATATAAATAGGATAGGTATCTGTGACAAAACACTTAGATTCTCTGCATAGCTAACTGAAAGAGAGTAAAGGACTGATCCTGGGCCCTGAAGCCAATGGGTGTTGCCTGGCTTGGGGTCAGCCCCTTCTGGAGCAGATTGGTCTTGAAGAAAAGTGGTTGGAGTGTTCAAACCAGAGCCAGGGAGCAAGCTAAGTATGGCAGCATGAGCAATCAGGGATCTAGTGCTGGAGCTACCCATTGACCCTCTTTTATGTGGGACAAGTCTGCATTGAGTGTGAAAGTAACTCTGAGACCATTTTTAAAACAGACTTGCCCGTCACCCACAGCATGTCTTAAGCACATTCACAGGAAAGGACTTAGCAGTAATAACTCCACCTGATATTTTAATGAGTACCAAACACTCACATTGCAGTCAAAGCCACCTGTATGTGTCCCCCCTTTCTGCTCTGCTAGGGCATGATTTGGCTTCACCCTGCACCTGACAAATCACAAGCAACATGAACTCATCATGGGATCTCACAATGGTTTTGAAGGGGATCCTGCAGAGCCACAGCTGGGTCCTTGTTTTGTTCTCCCTCTGTCCACATTGGTAGTCCCTAGTGGCAAGGCTGCCTGGGTAGGAAGCACCCCCATGTCTCTAAATAACAGCTCCTGTGCAGTTCAACCACTATTGCAGTTACCAGCTGGATGTGGCTGGTGGTCAGGAGGGTTTGGGGTCACCCTCTGAAACTTTGTGGCGCAACATTGCAAAACCAGAAGAGTAATTACCATAATTATGTACAAATAAAAAAAATATGTACAAGCATGATGTACAAGATCAATGCAGGGCATGTGGTGCCAGGGAGCATTAGCAACTAACATGTAACTTGGGTTTAGACTAAGGAGCCAGAGATGCTCTTGAAGATGGGGGTTGACCCAGTAAAGGGTATGGGACATGGACAGCTCTTCAACCCTGCTGCTGCTGGCTCCTGACAGAGTGACGGTCACTGCAACATCAGAGCCTCCAGCTCCCCAAGTCTCTGCAGGTCCCAGTGTGTCTGTACCTACTGTATCATGGCAGTGGGTTTCTTTTACACAGAACCCCTTGGGAAACAGTTTGATATTTGGAGAAGATTGTCTTGTCTTACTGCTTTAAGAGATAACACAGAATAGCAAATATTTTTTCCCTACCTCTTCTCCACCTTTTTGATCATGTAGCTGCAGCTGGGCAGAGGGAGGGAAAAAGAAAAGGGATTTATAACTCAGCAGTGACTTGGGTGATTTGCTACATCAATACTGATGGTTTGTATCAGTATAAATTATTGCTGTGAGTCCTAGTGATGAATCATAGTGATGTTGGGTGATAACAATGCCATCAAACACAAGCTCTCAGGCTTTGTGGCAATGTCTTGTCCTCCTATAAATCAGATTTGTCTCACTGCTGATCTCTCCATAGACAGTTGAAATAAATCATGGCCATTCTCAAACAAACAGGGAAGAAGAAGGAGGGGAACGAGGAGGGGACAGGGTTGTGTGATTAGCAAAGCTTCAGTGGGTGTTGTGAGGTGACTTGCAGGTGACTTTCTGTCGTGGTTTAACCCCAGCCAGCAACTCAGCCCCACCCAGCTGCTCACTCACTCTCCCCGGT